AAAATCCCTCCAGGAAATACGTCTGGGGGTGGGAGAAGGTGATGGAGCTTGGTGGGCTCCTCCTGCGAGGTTGCCCTCTTGGCCACAAAGCTGCACGAAGGGTCTGGGCTGTTCTCTGGGCTGCGCAGGGCAGAGGTTGGCTTTTCTCTCCGTGCGGCTGGTGGAAAAAAAAAGGTGTCCCCCAGCCTGGATCTGTCCTGATCTGCTCGTTGGGACGCAGGAACAGTCTCTGGCTGGTTCAGACCTTGACCAAAGCCCCTCCTAGGACATCGGTGGGGGCTGTGTTGGGGAGCAGAGCTGTCCCAGGCACATCTGCGGTGGCACCGTGTCCCTGTGAGCCACAGAGGACGGGCAGCTGGTCCCTGTGGGTCTGTGTCTTGCACAGCAAAGCACCACCAGCTTTTTTTGGTCAAGCGCAGGACCCAGCCCAGGGCCACCATGCACTGGGACACCTCATCTTCGGTGTGCCGTGCTGGGAACCTGCCTGGCTTCCTCTGCCACTGCTCCCCCAAGGAAGGTCCCCGCACAGGTCACCTCTGAGGTGATGCTGTCACCTGCCAGCAGGGCAGTTTGAACCCCCCCCATCTTCCTTCTCCCTCCCAGGTCCTCTACCACCTCTTTGAGGAGTTTGCCACCTTCGAGCAGGTGACCATCATCGATATCATCCTCGGCTTCCTCAGCTTCTTCGTGGTGTCACTGGGCGGCGTCTTCGTGGGCGTCATTTACGGGGTGATCGCTGCCTTCACGTCCCGCTTCACCTCCCACATCCGAGTCATCGAGCCGCTCTTCGTCTTCCTCTACAGCTACATGGCCTATCTCTCCGCTGAGCTCTTCCACCTCTCCGGCATCATGGCGTGAGTTGGGCGCGGGTGGGATGAGATGCCCCCCTTGTCCCCAGGACCTTTTGGAGGATTCACTCTGGTGTAACCACAGCCCTCTGGCTGTCCCAGCATGGCCAGTACATGCCCAGTGAAGGCCAGAGGTGTGTTTGGGTTGGGATATGCAGGGAGGCAGATGAGGGAGGTGACTCTCTTGAGTTGTCCCCCAGATCCGGGGGTGCTGGCAGCCCATTGCCTGTTCTCCTGGGCACACAGCAGCAGGCAGGGCCTGCTGACCGCTCAAGACAACAAAGTTCTGTGCTGCCTGGCTCCTGGCAGGGCAGGAGAAACCTTGTGTTGCCTTCTCTGGAGGCCTTGAATGATTGCTGGTGTCTCCCAAGCCCTGCCCTGCTCTGGGGTTTGGTATAAGAGCACAAAACACTGCTGCAGGGCTGGTGGTTGGGGTTGTCCCCATGTCCCCGTGGCTGCTAAGTGCCCCAACCTTGTCCCTAGGCTCATCGCCTCCGGCGTGGTCATGCGACCCTACGTGGAAGCCAACATCTCCCACAAGTCCCACACCACCATCAAGTATTTCCTTAAGATGTGGAGCAGCGTGAGCGAGACCCTCATCTTCATCTTCCTGGGCGTCTCCACCGTGGCTGGCCACCACTACTGGAACTGGACCTTCGTCATCAGCACGTTGCTCTTCTGCCTTATCGCGAGAGTTTTAGGTGAGGTGGCAAAATCCATGGAGATGGTCCTGGGTCTCTCAGGGCCAGGAGGCCCCAGTTTGCCTTGCTGGGGGGAATGGGGTTGACTGGGTGGCATTGCCCCACCATGGCCATCAGCCTTGCTGGTGGTTGGCCTCATGGGAAGATGGGGTTGAGGCCACGTTTGTGCCAGACATGGGGATGAAGCTGGTGAGGAGCGTGGTGATGAGCAAGCAGGACAGCACCCACCTGCACCCATGGCCCCGAGGGGGTGACACTGCACTGGGGTATGAGCCTGGGTCCTGGGGGGGTCTCTTTAGGGCTGGAGTTGCCCTCCTTCACCACCTGCTCACACAAGGTCCTGCACCGCTCCCCAGGCGTCCTGGTCCTCACCTGGTTCATCAACAAGTTCCGAATTGTGAAGCTGACACCCAAGGACCAGTTCATCATCGCCTACGGGGGCCTGCGAGGAGCCATCGCCTTCTCCCTCTGTTACCTCCTGGACTACAAGCACTTTGGCATGAGGGACATGTTCCTCACGGCCATCATCACCGTCATCTTCTTCACAGTTTTCGTGCAGGTTGGTGGCACTGGTCATGTTGTGGTTTCCGAGGGAAAGGGGGTTATTCAGCGAGCTGCAGGTGTGTGTGGAGGGTGAGGAGCATCTCCCCAGCCTCCATCCCTGCCCCTGTCACCGTCCCCCTTCTCCAAAAGCTCCTGAGGCTGCCAAGTGACACCGGCAGCGCGTAGCCCCATGGTTCGGCTGCGTTGAACCCATCCCGCTCCCACCTGGGTGCCTTGAGGAGGGGTCTAACCCACCCTCCCCATTCCCTAGGGCATGACCATCCGGCCCTTGGTGGACCTGCTGGCCGTGAAGAAGAAGCAAGAGACCAAGCGCTCCATCAACGAAGAGATCCACACGCAGGTAACCGCTGCGCCCGCCTGGCCCGCCCCACACGCTTCTCTTCGCCGCCTTAGCCCTCTTCTCTCTCTGCTTCTGCCACCTCCACCGCTGTAACCGGGCGGGTTTACAGAGCAGGAGCTGCCCCTAAATCGGTGCCCAAGGTAAGGGGGGACGGAGCGAGGGCTCTCCCCCATCTGTGTCGTCCAGTGCCCGCTCCGACCCAGACCTCCCCAGTGCCTGGTAGAGCAGTAGCCCAGTTGCGTAGGACCGTGCTGCCCTCCTGAGACCCGTCCTGGACCCACAGCCCTGATTTTGCACCCCCTGAGTGCCCTCACCCCTGTGTCAGCGTGGGTGTCAGGGTGGGGAGAGGGTGGGCAACAGCCCTGCAAGCCGCCTACACCTTGGACCTTCTCTTCCAGTTCTTGGATCACCTTCTGACGGGGATCGAGGACATCTGTGGTCACTACGGGCATCACCACTGGAAGGACAAGTGAGTTGGAGGTTTGGTTACTCGGGGGACACAGAGGGGAGATGGGGAAGGGTTTGAATCACCACCCGGCAGGTTTCCCAGCCCTATGCTGGGTTTTTTCCCGGGCTGTAATATCCACACACAAGGAATCCACAATCCCTTGAGGAATGACAGCCGTGGGTTGGGTGCGAGGGGGCTGCAGAGCTGCATCCCTTCACCACACCACCCCTGGAGCTGCTGGTGGCCAGTCCCTGCAGGAGCTCAGGACCATCCGTTGTGGGTGCGAGCAGCTGCTGGGTGTTTCGGAGCTGCCTGGCTCGGAGGGAGTCGGGGAAGCCTGGCTTGACCTGTGCTGGTGGGAAC